CACCCGGGAAGAGTGCAATGATGGTGCCAACTTGGGCCAGTGAAGCATCGTCCTCCACAATTAGACTGAAGAACAAAACGACAGCAACTTGCCTGTTCCCCTTCCCCCAATTCCCCAGCACTGTTCCCATCCCCCAATTCCCCAATAAAAATCTTTAAAAAAAAAGAGGCAGATGCAGAATGTTTATCAAAGAAATTGACATCTACTCAAAATAAGCGAAATAACCTAAATTACATTTATTTGTATGAAGAATTATAAACAAAAAGAATTACGAAATAGGAAATTTAATTCATTTGCATGAGGCAGCATTCCTGACTGCTGATGACTATGGGACTAACATTTTCTTTTTTCCACTCAAGGTCAGGATGAATAACAGTTGGTGAACTTCTATGCAACAGAAATGCTATATAAGGGGGAAGATAAAAACGACGAGCTAGTAAACCAACCTCCCACCTCTGTAATTAGTTTCAGTTCATTGTATTTCTCTTCAACACTACACGGATTTGATGGAGGGGAGAAGCGAGAGAAAAAAGGGGAATCACCCACTCCCAGATGCTACGCCTTCATTCCCAAGGGCCTTTCTCCTATCCAGTAATAGGTTATGTGAGGAGGTAAGGCAGTTAGTCTTTTCCACTAACACCTACATCATGGCAGGGGAACAGGGTAGTTGGAGAAGGAAAAGACAAAAAGAAGAAAAAAAAAAAGACAAAACTGATTTTCCTCATGGTTTCCAAAGTAACATCCTGGAAGAAAATATGAAATCACCTATTTCTATTTACCTTTATCTGTTTGGAACGTTTATTAGAATCGGCAATTCTTTTTTTATATACATAACACAGCAGTACAGGATATGGAAGTCCCACAAAGGACTTAAAGCAGGCCCACACAAGGAGGAAGGCATCACACTCACAAATAAAAAGACTTATCATTAGGAAGATAATTTCCCCCTAATTAATCTTTAAAAATCAATGGAATTTCGATAAAATCCCCAGTGTCGTTCATGGAATTTGAAAAGCTGCTCTGAAAACATACATGCAAGTGAATAGCCAGGTCAATTTTGAAGAGTGAAAGGGGAGTAGGGGCTTGACTTATGAAATGTCGTTTAAAAATAAATGGAGACAGTCTGGTATAAATGCAGACACATCTATGAACATGGATAAATCCAAAAAGTATTTTAAAAAGCAAATTACAGAATGATACATATACAATACACATTTTTTGGACAAAAGTACATAAAAACATAATACACGTGGGTAGACATACCTACATGTTAGGATACACAGCAATAGAGTACTGGGGAGCAAAAAATGAGAATAAGCAGAGGTACAAAGAAGGTTCAATAGCTAGAGTTTTATTTCTCAAAAATTAAAAGAGGGAAAAGGGGATCAAATATATAGTGATGGAAGGAGAACTGGTTCCGGGTGGTGAAAACATAATACAGATGATATATTACAGGAACTGTACACCCGAAACCTAGATAATTTTACTAACCAATGTCATCCCAATAAATTTAATAAAAATTAATTTAAAAATTAAAAGTACCTAAAATAAATGTGGCAAAACATTTAGAAATGTTAAGTTTGAATGGGAGGTACATGGATATGTATTATACTATCTTTTCTACTATGGGTTTCATAATAAAACAAAAGTTAAAGACTGAATTTATTTATATAAATAAGCTATAGGGTGATAAATTGTTATTTCCAGAAATTCCTTCTGGAGGCAGCATTGTATTTTTTTTTTTAGGTTGCTAAATATACTGGGAAATGTGCCAGATGCTCTATTATAAGAGACAGATATTGCTTAATCTTGTCCATAATGTGATAAAATTCCAAAAATACAAGTGCAAGGGAGTCATAACAAAATATTATAAAAATTACTTTTATAATTGTTATAAAAGCCCATCTCAATACAGAAACATTAAAAATAAAGCAAAGCAAATATGGATATTAAGAAATCACTATCCCTTTTGAAATAATTTAAATGCACCTTATAAACTACCATGAATTTCACTTTAGGTTTAATATTTTCAATGACTGCATATGTCTGAAAATAACCAGTCAAATTATACCTCTTGAGTCACTGAAGGCCAAACATAATAATTACTACATATATTTTATAATTATTTTAAAATTGTGTCAGGATAAGACTGGGGATTCAAAATACACTGCTTTAATTTCTAGACCAAAGGATTGAAATGTCAGTGTGAAAGTGTGTGTGTTTCTGCAAAATGTGTAGGGAATGAGATAACTTACTTAAAAGCAAGATTTAGGAAAAATGTTACGGGCAACTTAGGCTGTAAAATGTGTTGTATACAGAAGTCAATTAAATTATACTTTATAATTGCCTTAACCGTCTCTTTATTTCAAAATATTTTTCCTGTTCCTACACAACAAAAATACATGTTCATGTATTTTGATATAAAAATGCAATTTTAAACAGCTGTCTTCAAGTGCTGCTAAGAGTTAATTTGTATTGACGTCATGTGCCTCTGAGGATTTCTTAAATTAATAGGAAATGGTTGATATAGAGGTTGTCTCAGGACAAGTAAACTATGATGTCAACATACATTACTAAAAGCCTACATACAGTTAAATTACTTACACATAGAGAAAAGCCTTTTCATTTTTCTATTATAGCAGATAAAGAACAAAATGTCCTATCTTTAGGAAAACAAAATGAAGCATCCTATCTTTAATTATGTGTGCTCGCAGCACCCTCTAGTGGGTGAGATGAAGAGGACAAAAAGGGAAAGGGAAACCGTCTGAGAAAAACGCACAGTTCTCACTGATTCATCCATTCCCAGCAGATGCTATTTACCTCGCCACACGGAAAGCACTGTGCTGGCTGCTGTGAGGACCTGGACAAGTATAACTGGTCAGGACTAGCGAGGGGAACGGAAAGACCCACAGAAGCAGCATAGGGAAAAAGAAGGGAATTAAATGGGGAAAGTGATCTAAAGTGTAAATCTCTTTCACTAATAGAAGAACTGCATTTTTAAAAAGACTTTGGGACTTTAGTACTGGCTTTATCATTACATTTAAAAAAATAAACTAATCGATGTAGACAAAATCAAGGGAAAGCATCAAAATACACCTTCAACAGTCAATTTTCTCCATTGTCAGCTATGAGTGCACGTGTGCACACCACACACACACACAGGACAAGAGAGCAGTTGTCACCTTCCTGGACCCTGACTTTGACCTAACTTATTGATTTGAATTGGGTGGGCATATTTTTATTTATTTATTTTTTTAAGATTTTATCGGGGAATTGGAACAGACAAGTTGCTGTCTTTTTGTTCTTCAAACTAGTTGTGGAGGACGTCGCTTCACTGGCCCATGTTGGTATGATCATTGTGCTCTTCCCGGGTGAAGCAGTCGCTCGCCGTCCATTGGATGGCCGCTGACGGCAGCTCACGAAAGCTCACACCTGCTGTCTGCCAGCTCCACTGCAGCCTACACAGTCGCTGGCGACTCATGGAAGCCCAGCTCCAGGTCGAGCTGTTGTTCACTATCTTAGCTGTAGAGGGCGCAGCGTCACTGGCCCTTTGTGGGATCCAAACCCGGGCCCTGCTGCTCAGAGCTCGCACTCCCAAGCCAACTCTTAACCAACAAGCCACTCAGCCGGACTGGATGGGCTTCTCTGTAACACAATGTGCAAGGGGAAGTATTTTTCCTCCAAGTACATGTATTTACAAAGGTAAAGTGGGCATTAAAATTCAGTTCACTTAAATTGTTTTCTTCCTATAAGACTGTATGGCTTCTATAAGCAGGCTGTATAACTCCTTAAAGGTGGGATGGGAGCTATCTGCAATACAGAAAATCATTTCTTTATCCTGGTTAAGAGGACAGGCTCTGGTAACAGACGCTGTAGGTTCAAATACTGGCGTCACCCACATAGCTGTGAATTCTTGGGCTTAATTTCTGAGTGTCTCAGTTTTCTAATTTGTCAAATGGAAATAATAATATTATGTACTGCACAGGATAATGCTAAATACATATGAAGGATGTAACAAATATTATTATTATTATTAATGCCACTCTTTGCTAGAAAGGATACTTGCAAATAAGATATAAGAAAACATTCCTTAAAACGTTATTACTAAGCAAGAAGTGCCATATCTAAAATGTGTACTTTTACCTAAAAAACTATCTCAAAACTGTGAGCAAATTCTAGTAAACAGTACACACACACATCTTATAATATATATTGGAGGTAGATTAACATTTCTTAAACTAATGAGTACAAAGTTACAGGCTACATTTTATCAAACCAATTACCAAAGCTTAATGTTTTTTACAAATCTCTTATGTATCCTTTGTGATTTTAAAACAGTATTATCTTGCACAATACTTGTAAAATTTTTCTTTACTATTTTCATAGTAAAATTGTATATGGCTTTCAGATATTCAGGAAACATTCTGTAATTTTAAAAAGCTGTTCAAGCCAATATATTTTAATATCTCTACCAGATATTTATTTTGAACATACATTTTACAAACTAAAAATTAAAGAGAAAAATACATTTGGAGTTCATTTCTAGACCTCAACTTTCATCTATAAATGTGATTTACCCCAATTTATAAAAATGAAAAACAGCAAACATGTTTGCTACTCAACGTCACCTTCAGAGATTTTGCCACTTGAACATGGTTGTCATAGACTAAAATGTCTACTGTTAGATTCTGCAGCCGCTCGAGCTCACTTAATTCACCGTGAAAAACAAGGTCTTGTATTAAGACTCTCCATGATGGGAACGGGGTCCTGGTACCATCCCACACCTGCCATAAGAGGGAAGAGCCAAGGTTAATGATCTTTTTGTAAAATCGTGGAGGCTAAAAGGGTTTTATCTGCTGGCAATAAAACTTAAAAGTAATTAAATATATTCTTGGAAATACCTGCTAAACTTTCAATGATATATTTTTTTTATTGTAAAAAGGACTACATATATATAGGTCATGCAGAAAACATAAAGAAAAAAAGTCCAAACTGCTATGATTCTAGGGAAAATATTAACATATTTTTGAATTTACTTTATCTTTTTTTGTGTGTGTGTACTTATAAAGCATAAGTCTTTTTTTCTTTTTAATACACTGGCATTATATTCTTTTTGTTCCCTAGTTTATTGTTGAATGATTCATCAGGGAATTTAAATATTCTTCTAAAATATGATTTTCAATAGCTTCACATTATTTTATGGTATGGATGCATACAAATTTATTAAACTAATCCCTTTATTGGTCATTTGGGTTGTTTCGAACTTTTTGCTATTTTAAATAATTTAGTAATTACCATCCTGTATATAAACCTTTATGAGTATCTCTGCTAATTTAAGTATAAAATCCTAGCTTTTAGGAATGTATTCCGACCTTTGCCCATTTTTCCACATTTTTTTTATTTGGAAAATGTCTTTAAAAGTATAGACGTGACTATTTTGCTTATATTAGATGTTATGAATACAAGTGAATAAACCTCATGGGTGCTGGAAAAGGAAAAGGTGTTGGACTGCTCTGTAGGGTACACTGAGATAAGGAAGGAGACGCGGGCATGGGACGAGGATGTACTACTCCCCGTCCTTGGGACATGCACTAGCCTCTGCCGTGCTAGGATGTTAAGAGACGAGTTGGTCTATGTTATGCTATCAAGGGTATGACAAGGACATTGGTGTGAACCAGGACAATCACTTTTGAAAGCATATTCCACAAACATTTTTATCCACTTAAAATGTATTCTTTCATGTTGTGTACATTGTTTTTGTGACTTTAAAATGGCTTTACAAACCAATCCACCAGTGTTTTGGATGAGGGGTTAAGAGGGCAGAGTTGCTACATGCTTTCATGCTTGTTTTAATTGCCTAGAAGTCAGACTTTTAACAATCTTTATCAATCTGAAATATTATTTAATGTTATTTTCATCATATATTACATTACTATAGCTATAAGACTTTGAGGTTCCCAACCTTTTCCGTTGATCAGTCTTATTACAGCTCAGCTTTAATTATTATAATTTCATGTTTTGGGATCTAATATGAAGCTCCCACTTAGTTTTCTTTGGCAAGATTTTCTTGCTTTATTCCTGATCATTTAATGTTTCTACAAAACTTCAGAATTACAGACAATTAGAAAAAAACTGTGGTTTTATTTTGAATATTTCAAACTTTGTTTTAAGCTCCTAAGTTTTGTAGTTTTCTTCATAGGCTAGGTATTTCTTGCATGAACTTTCTTGTTTTGCAGTTGTTGAGACTTTGAAAGGTCTTTTGTTCAATTATATGTTCTATTTATTACTGATATCTAGGAAAGCTATATTTTACTGTTTTAAACAATTTAGGTCACTGAATAATTTTATTACTCCAAATAGGTTTACAGTTAATTGTTGGGGTTTTTATTTTTTTATTTTTTATTTTTTTAGCTGAGCTATCCTGCCACCTGTTGGCAGTTCAGCGGCAGCTCAGCTCAGGCCGGGAAACGAACTGCTGTTGCTCAGGGCTTGCACTCTTGAGCAAGCTCTTAACCAACTGAGCCACTCAGCTGACCCTTGTTGGGGGTTTTATATCTTGTGAGTACTGAACCTTTTTTTTTCTTTCTTTTAAAATAGTTAAATCTCTGATTTCTTTTTCTCATCTCAGTGAATTTCCCAAGACTTCCTAAGTGACATTACATAACAGAAATAGTGGGTATTTTGTCCTGTTTCTGGTATTATTCACTCCAGAATTCCAACACTAAATATTGTCTGTCTACCTTAGAAATTATTCACTAAGAAAGCATGCTTCTATTTTGCTAAACAGTTTCATAAGTATTTTAAACATTCATTGAAATTATCATATACTTTTTAACATTCATGGAGATGACTATAATTTTCCTGAAACTGAACCATGTCAGATTTCTAAAAATAAACATTTTAGTTTCTATATTAATAAACTGAGGTGCATGTCCTTGTTTTGTGCAATATTGGTCTGTTCTTGGTCTAACTCAGTTTGAAGGAGTTCACCATCTGGGCTCAATCACTTCAGTAGTTAATTCAACAACTTAAAAAATCTAAATTAAATTTAAAATTTGAAACCAAAAAACAATTTAATCTAGACTCATATTTAGTAGCATAAAAATTGAATAGAACATTTCATGAGGTATAAATACCCCTACGTATATAAAGATATCTCTTGTATCATTCCTAATTTAGAAAATTCTTTCTTTTAAAAAAATCAGAATAGAACTTTGTTTTTTAAACTTTTGAACTTATTAATTTTATATATTTTCTTAATCATTAACTATATATAACAATTCCTACATACCTTACTTACTGTTAGGAGACACGTATTACTGCTGGAAAACAGCTTCTTTCATACATGAAGGGTAATTTAGCAAAAACTATCAAAAATTCAAAAGCACAAACTCCTTGAATCAGCAATTCTATTTCTAGCAATCTATCTTCACAGCTCTGTGATCACAGATGTGAAATGACAAACATTTAAGTCAACCTCCTAACACATCAATAGGATGCAAGTTAAAAACATGCCATGCCTCCATCTGATAAAAAAACAAAGCAGGTGAGTAGTATCGCTAAGTTCATGTCTACAAGAAACTTGTGAATGTGACTTTATTTGAAAACAGTGTCTCCGCAGATACAATTAGTTAGGATGAGGTCATACTGGGTTACAGCGGTTAAACCAACATGACTGGTGTCATTATAATAGACACAAAGGGAAGACGGCCATTTGATAACAGAGACAGAGATTGGAGCGATGCATCTGGCAAGGCAAAGAACACCAGCAACCACCAGCAGCTACGAAGAGGCAGGGGAGGACTCTTCCCAAAAGGCTTTGGAGGAAGCATGGCCCTGCCGACATACTGATTTTGGAGTTCAGGCTTCCAGAACTCTGAGGTAACACATTTACGATATTTTCAGCCATCTAGGTTGTTGTAATTTGTTATGGCAGCCCTAGGAAACTAATACAAGGACCTTGTTAGGTAGTGACGTAGAAAAATCGCTATGATAGAATTAAGTAAAAAAAGCAATGGCAGAATGTGTATAGTATGCTATCATATGTATACAAGAAGAAAAAAATATATGTGAACTAAAATATGTCTGAAAAGATATTCAAGAAACTCTTTTCAGTGGTTTCCTAGTTTTTGGAGGGAGAGACTGAGAAGATGGGGGTGGGGGAGAAACAGAGAGGGATTTGAGGAGAGAAACTTTTCACTACATATCATTTAAAAATATATTTTAAATTTCTGGATAATATTAAACTGTCCAAAATTAAATACCTTATTAAAATACCACTTCCCACTTTTTATATAGTTCTGTGTTATTTTGTTCAATTTTGAGTTAAAAGCATATTCCAATACGCTGTTTTTTCTTTCTTTGTTCATGAAGATATGTAAGGTTTTAAATTTTGTATTAGAGTATATCTCTGACTATAGCTTTTAATCTATTACTATTAACATTATATTCTTAGTAACCTATAATTATAATTTCTCTTTGAAACAACACTGGGGGAATATTGTCTTTTTTAACATCTAAGTTTTTGGTTTGTAACAAATGTTTTAATTTATACATTTATTGATTCTAGTAAAAGGAATGTCCTCTTTAATGTCTCTTATTGGGGAATAAGTAATCGCAGTATTTTTATTATGGTAAAATTATAACCTTAAGATTCAATCAAACTATTTTCATTGTTAAATTACAAACATCCCATAGTGTATTCTATTACATTTGAGTTCGAAAAGAAATACAATTACCAATAAAATAATTTTACACGTAGAACTGCAGCTAAAAATATGTAAATTTCTAGTACTAAAATAAGAAACACATATTTCATTAGTACTAAAATAAATACACAAATAAATATATTTTACTAGTACTAAAACTTTATTATTACTCCATATTTTCTTAGGATTAAAGTAAGAAAAATATAAATAACTATCACATGAACCATACCACATTTAAAATATAGATCTGATGATACTATTAGTCTCTGGAAGTACAGGATAAAGAAGTCCAAGAGTAGAGCTGCATGGATATACAGGCTCATCAAAAATGGAAAGTTAGATGTTAAGTTCCTAATACACAGTATGCATAGTTATTCCATCAGAATCTAAAACATAAGCTCTTTATAGGCACGCAGGTGGTACTAACGTATAACTGCAAATATTTAAACACGTCTACCTTGAGGAGAAATGATAGAAGTCCAAGAGTAGAGCTGCATGGATATACAGGCTCATCAAAAATGGAAAGTTAGATGTTAAGTTCCTAATACACAGTATGCATAGTTATTCCATCAGAATCTAAAACATAAGCTCTTTATAGGCACGCAGGTGGTACTAACGTATAACTGCAAATATTTAAACACGTCTACCTTGAGGAGAAATGATAGAAGTCCAAGAGTAGAGCTGCATGGATATACAGGCTCATCAAAAATGGAAAGTTAGATGTTAAGTTCCTAATACACAGTATGCATAGTTATTCCATCAGAATCTAAAACATAAGCTCTTTATAGGCACGCAGGTGGTACTAACGTATAACTGCAAATATTTAAACACGTCTACCTTGAGGAGAAATGATGCTCCGTCCACTTCGGCTTTGCCCAAGAGCTGGCAAGTCAGGTCAAAATACTGTTCTGGCTGAACATCACGCAATCTCACTAATGTCGAAGAAGGTTCTATATTAGTGGAGGCCCAAGCACGTAAGGTCTCTACCATTCTGCGGTCCTCAGCCGTGAAGTTAAAACACTTGCTTGAAGTACGAGGTGTGATAGGAGCTCTCACAGTTCCCTCAAACGTCAAAGATGCAAAGCCACTGCTGTTGATACCTTGAGTCTCGTTTTTATATATTTGGATCTAAGAAAGTGGGACAAGTAGAAAACAAAACAGAAACATACATAACAGCTTACTGATACAGAACCCAGGAAGTGAAGAAACTTGAGAGATTATAAAATCTTGCCATAGTTAATAAAGGACATAATTGTTTAATATTTCATTAGCATACGAAATTATAAAACTCACTGGGTTCTATCAAGCACCATGTAAACTGTAAAACATTCTGCAAATTTTTTTTTTTAAAGAACTAGGTGGTAGATTCCCTAATCCTATCAATCTTGAACTTTTACATTTATTAGTTTTTTATTAAGATATAATTTACAAAAGGAAAAATAACAAGTGACAGTTACTTATAAATGTAACATAGGAAACTAGAACACTTAAAATATAAGAGTTTGAGGTGAGCAAAATGCAGCTGAGGCTAAGGTTTCATTGGTCTGAGAGCTGAGATACACCACCACACTTTGGCTTTCTGAATTTTGAAGCTCAGTTATGAGATGAACATACATTTACCGGTTACATCATCTTCATAAAGCAACCCTTCTGTCCTTGTGAAATGCTCCCCCCTTTTAATCTCTTGTGATACTCTGATTAGGAAAAGTTATTTCCTTTTCCTAATGCTTACTGTTCGCTTTTCTACAGCTTTACTTCCAACTGGTTTGCATCTTCATCTGGTTTATCTTTTTCAGTCTATTTTTTCCTTGCAAAGGAGTGTTTAGTCAATTTACATAAATGTAATTTTTGATATGGTTCTATGTAACTCTGTTACCTTACTTGTTTTCCTCATTTCCCTTTTTTGCTTTTTAAAAAATTGTTTTTCTATTGTTCCTTTCCTGTCTTATTTTGAACCGATTAGTGTTCCATTTACTTCCTCTGAGCTATATATGAATTCTTAGTCTCAGTCGATTTTGAATCAATACTGTTCTACTACATGCTCCTACTTCCCATTTCACATTTCCCACTTTCCCACATCCCAGTTTATGCTTTCTACTGAAAGTATAATAGCCTCTGAAGGTAATCACCTTTCAGTGATATAATTCCATTTAACCATCCCACCCACCCTTTGTGCTATTCTTGTCATATTTTTCTACATATTTTGTAAACCCCACTTTACAATATTGTATTTCTTTTATATAGCCATTCATCTTTTAGTGACATTATAGGAACATGTACAAAATACGGTCTTTCATATTATTTACTCATTAATTTATCTTTTTTTTTTGGACATGCTGGCTATGGATTCTTTCATTTTCTTTGATATAAAAACATCTTTATTTTACCCTCATTTGCAAAGGATATTTTCTCTGGACACAAAATTCTGGGTGAATACATTTTTTTATCACCATTTAAAATTTATCATTACTTAGTTCTTCGGGTGTCGTTATTTTAAGTAATCAAAGATGACTGGTATCACTTTCCCTATATGGAATGTGTTGCTTCTCCAGCTGATTTCAAGTTTCCTTTTTCAATGGTTTTGCCATGATTTGTTTAGATGTGCTTTTCTTTGTGGTACCACACATAGGGTGCACTGAGCTTCTTGGATCTGTAAGTCAATATTTCCCATCAAATTCGGAAAAAAATTCTGGTCCTTATTTCTTTAAATATTTTTTTCCCATTCTCTTCTCCTGTATCTTAAATGACATGTTTTACCATATGATATCATTTCACAGGTTCCTAAGGGTCTGTCAATTTTTCTTTAATCCTTGTTCTTCAGATTATATAACTTCTACTGATCTATCCTCAAGTAAATGTGATATATCTAATCTGTTCAGTTCATCCAGTAAATTTTTCATTTCATCTGCTGCTCTTTTCAGTTATTCAATTTCTATCAGTTTTTTACAGTTTCCACTTCTTTATAGAAATTACTTAAATTGCATTCATTTAACCACAGTCCTTTAATTTACTGAATATACTCAATTCTTTGAAAATATTTATAATAACTGCTTTAAAGTTTTTGTTTTAAAATCTTACATCTGGGCCACCATGAGGTTGGTGCGGAGTGTCTAATATTTTTTCTTGACCATGGGTAACATTTTCCTGTTTCTTTTCATGACTAGTATTTCTTCATCTTTTCTAGACATCGTGGATGATCTACTGTAAAGGCTCTGAATTATGCTGCCTTCTGCTGACCCACACTGAGTCTTGTTCTTGTTGGCATTCTAGTTGCTGGATGATTGCCTTGAACTTATAAAGGCCTGGCTTTATGTTTTGTTAGGATGAATCTGTGGAAAGCTCCAACTCTTACACCTTAAGCTATTTCGTTAAGTCTGAATAAGCCCGTAATATGGCGGCTACAATGGTATTTCTATTTCTATATTTATCTTCACGCACATATTCCCTACTATTCATCTAATTCTCAGGGAAAAGGCACTGACAGATCAAGAGAGGGCACTCCCACCACAACTAAGAACAGAGCACACCTGGAATATTGTGCTCATGTACGAACACTGCACTGACCCTGAGGGACACAGACAAACTGAAGCATTCGAAGAAAGGACAACCAAGATAATGAAGGGGTTGCATGGAAAGCCATGTAACAAAGGAAAAGATGAAGGAACTGAAATGCTTAAAACCTCAGGGATTGAACATATTCAAGTACTGAAAAGCTGATTTTATAAAAATCACATACTATTTATAGGTTTACTTTTATACCGAAGGTTTTCTTACATTAATTAAACTTGCCAGCATAATTTTAAAAGTACCAAAAAGCACCCCTGTTGATATTTTAACTTATTTCTCATAAATGAAGATCAATTTATTTTGATTTTATATTTAATATCTCAATGTTTTCATTGTACCTGAATTAATATAACAAACAGGAAAGAATAATACAATCTCCCAATCTTTGCACACTTTTGCTCTTGTTGACCTAATGCTTTTTTTTTTTAAACAAGTGTTTTTTATCAAACTCTACATGGAAAGCTTTTAAAACATCAAACTATATTTAGAAGCAAGAAGGCAGAGCACAACTAGCCTGCACCACAGCATCTAATACATGTCTGTGGAAGGGGGGCAGGGTGTTTGTTCAAATGAAGAGGTTTCCTAATATAAATTATGTGAAGTATGATACTATCTACATTTCATCTTATCTCTTCAAATGCTTGATGTCATGTTCTAACAAAGCAACTACATAATTAGTGCTAAATAGTTTTAGTGAACAATACAGTTCTCTTCAAAAAAATGTAAGTTCTAGACAGTATGAATTATACCTTTAGCCTGTGAAGGCGAACAATATCTCCATTTTTATAAATCATCGGATGGGCTTCATAATTCCCACTAAAGAGCAGGCAGGTTAACTTCGCATTTGTCGGGTCCACAATTGTTACCACCGAACAATAATCTGGAAAACACAAACATATTTACCTGACTTTTAGTATTTCAAACGATTTGACAAAACAAGAATATACTGAGTTAAAAATACTGAACAGACTTTACTCCTCCCTTTAACTAAGTCTTCTAAGAATAGGATCAAAAGAGAGACATTTTCTTGGCTCTCAAAATGAGCTACCAAATTATTTTGCAAAACTGTTCCACAAAAATTAATTTTAGTAAAACAAAAATTTAAATCCTATTTAATATACTTGTAAGTTATCTTGAGTGGTAATAACTTATTACTTCAAGGTTTAAAGTCATGATGCAGATAAACATAATTAAAATATAATTTATAAAATAAGTATAAATTCAGAGTGAAAACAAAAGACTAAAAGATATTTCCAACAAACGTGATGAAGAGTCAATATACTGCATAAAGATACTATGAAAATTGGTTATAAAATCTGGGATTTCACAGTAAATGTGTAACTCAAATAAACAAACAATTCATAGAAAACTGTATAATAACAAATTTAAAAGGGAAAATAATGATTTGCTTGTTACCTATAAAACTGGTATAACAGAGGTATTTTCTATAACTTAAACTGGTAAAAAATTTAATGATAGTTGAGTTGCCATGAAAACCCTAACTTCAAATACTGGTGATAGTAAAAACTGTAATGGATGCTACCTTTTAATATACATGTTTCAGAAAATTCCACACTAAAAAATGTGTTGATTTCCCTTCGTTCCCAGTAACGCAGTAATTCTAATATAGAGACAGAAAAGAATAAACCCAGGACAGTGAAGGGAGAGGAGAGGCGAGGGAGGGAGAACACATTTAGGAAAATGGGCAAGTAAATGGTTAAGGGACAAAATGAACAGAGGAGACTGCAAACCTGAGACTATAAAGTGACTACAGCGAAGATGGGAGCCACTGGGATTAAGGGTGGGAGTGAAAAGTGTTGCCAAAAATCAAGGTTAATTAAAAGTTTACATATAGAACAACTTTCGATACCCACCCATCCTGCTCCCCACTCCCTGTGAAAACGACCTCATGTAGGCCTTTCGTCTATCACCCCATCACCTCCCAGAACATAGGCTGTTTTCCAAGTAAGTTTCACTGATCACCGGTAAGGCTTCTAATGAGAGTATCAGCACCCAGAATAAATCCCTCCCTCATTAGCACAGGAGGGGCCCAGGGCCTGAACGACAGCTCTCTTCCCACCCACGCTAGCCTGACACTTTCAATGAACATGCCCTAGGCAGCACAAAATGTCTGTCAGACTTCCCATCCAAGGAAGAAATCAAGTTGGAAAAATAAACTACTTATATATAAAGCAAAGGGAACAAATCTCTACAACCAAAAATAAACCATACCTACATTTTTAAATGTAAAGACTACAGTTAACAGAGAACAAAAGTGGGAGGAGGGGGAGAGGGAGTGAGGATGGATACCAGGAGGGGGAGGGAGGGAGAGGTGAGAAGACAGCAAGAGTGGCCCCAAGGGGAATGGAACCGGAAGAGGACCGGGAGGAGAGGTAAGGAGGGAGAGGAAAAAGAGAAAGCGGACTGTGAGGATGGGGAAACTATTCAGAGAACATTAAAAATAAAAACTTAAAAATAAAAAAACCTTAATAAGTACCTTCAAAAACAGTAAAAAGATATTACCATGCTCAAATCTTGATACACTATTCATAGCAGGATCCATTGGACCCAATTTGAAGTTTCTGAGTTTTCTTTTTCAGCAGCTCTAACTATTTGTAAGGAATTACTTCATAACATTTTTTTTCTTTCTTAGGAGTCTTCCAAAGATCACCAAAAGAGATAAATTTTACTTCTTATAAATAAAACAAACCCTTGCTTGTCATTGCCATATGGGTCTACTGTATCCTTTTATAAATCTGAGATACACTGCGGGATCTTACTGCTGTTTTTCTACATCATGAAATATTTTCCTATTTCATTATCCTAATAGTTATTTCATCATGATTCCTATCTATGCTAAAAAAAAGACGTAATTAATTTAAAAAATGGGAAAATGAGGGAATTGCCTAGAAGAATGGCACAGAGTGAAATGAATCATCATTATTGCATGGCACTGCTCACGTACCATAACACCTTTCAAGAAGATATAAAAGGAATTTGGAGACACTATCCTTGGAGTTTCTTCTTTAGCTTTATTTAAACACAGTTAAGAATTCAGAACTGAAAAAGGTTTGCTAATAGTCACAGGGAAGAAAACTGACAGAGGACGCCCTTTAACCATCGTTACATGAATAAGAAACCGAATGTAAAGACATGACAACACTTTAAATTCTATTGACAATTATGAATGTACTTGGAAGAAAACTCAATTGATCTGACGATTTTAAGTTTCATCAAACTTCAGGACAAAGCACAAAGGCAAAGTAATCACTAGTGTAACAAAATCCAATTCAAATACACGTCATCCAACGTGGTTTTTTTTTTTTTTTACACTGTTATTTCTTGATGGCTTCTGCAAAGTCACATATCACAGTGATTTGTAATAGGCTGTAAAAACTCACATTTCATATTTGTACCAGAGAACTAGTAATGACTTGTATGTATGTTATTCTAAGTTGCAGTAATTCTACATTACTCCTCTCACATTAAATGCTTCAAAACGAGCCACTTAAGTAAATTCAGAATATAATGCAACAACAAAAATGCGAATTTAATAGGCATAAATAATAGTTAAATTTAAGTGTTAGCCAAGATGAACTGACAGAGCCCAGTAATATATGGTAAGATCTCCTTGGGGTCCACATACTCTTTAGAGCATAAAAAGCTTGAGAAGTACTGATAAGGGCATCAACACTATTACATTTCATGAAAGTAAAAATTCATAAAGCATACATCTTCTGTAGATCACTACAGAGACAAGGTCTCCTGCAATTCTACCACAATTCAAACTACAAACAAGTAAAAACTGGCCCTTCCTCTTCCCAGTTCACAGTAAACAAATGAGGATTAAAAAAACAAATATGGATAATGTATTACTTGAAAGTGACACCCTATAACCTTAATAGGTCCCCAATCCCTAAATTTGAACCCATGGAACAAATTTCAGCAAATAAGAATCAAAGTATACGAAAAAGAGTTCCATGTTCAAGTCATTTCAAGTAACACTATCTTAATAAAGTTAAACAGGTTCCTTTACTAAGGTGATAATGTACCAATATGCATCCATCGTGATTCCCAAAGGCCCACTAGCATGCAGGATCTCCCGCTTTTTCACAAAGTGTCCCAGGACTGGGGTTTCTCCCATTACAAATGCTTTGTTAAGAACTCTCCAGCCAACATCACCAATGGAGCTGCTCGCATCTTCAGCTTTGTCTAAGGCCCTAACTACAGGTAAGTCTGGAAGCCAAAAAATAAAGTCTTGTTAGGAAAAAAAAAAAAAAAAGCAGCTTATATAGATTAGATCTGCAATCTATTTTAAAAGAAGCATTGCTGAGAAAGCTGGACAGTTTAAAGCGTCCCTCGACAAAGAGGAAGACAGCTGTTCGTTTTGTTCCGGGACATTCTCTCCTGCAGTGCTTGCCTCCCCATTACCTCCTCTATCTTGACCATCTACTGCTGGTAACTCTTGTTGTTTCCTTTTTGCCTTTTAATCTCCCTCTGTTGTTACTTACAAGAGTGTAAACAACAACAACAAAAAATGTAAATTTCCATTTTAATGCTTCCTGAAGTCAAGCCAATTGATAACTTGACTTCCCCAGCCCTCCCACAGGTGATTGGAGGATGGATGGCATCTTGAAATATGTTTCCCAATTTAAAAAAGCTATAAAACCAAACGAACTCTGAAGCAACTGATAAAACCTGCCCTTAACAATGCAAGTAACTGGCAACCTTTATTGGAAAAGTCCAAAGGCAATCAGAGGAGACTAATCTAGTTTCTACCTTCTTCATATTCAAGTTTATAGGCCTGTTATTTACAATTTCCTACACTAATCAGTATTTTTTTTTAAGATTTTTATTGGGGAATTGGGGACTGGGAACAGTGCTGGGAAATTGGGGGAAGAGGAACAGACAACTTGCTGTCCTTTTGTTCTTCAGTCTAGTTGTGGAGGATGTTGCTTCACTGGCCCAAGTTGGCACCATCATTGCGCTCTTCCCGGGGGAGGTAGATCAGTCGCCGGCTTCTGGATGGCCGTTCACTGCGGCTGCTGGCCGCTCACGCTGGCTCCTGGCTGCTGGCTACACACGGTAGCCCATGGCAACCCACTGCCATAGGGGCTGCAGCCTACGCCATCGCTGGCTACGCACGGCAGCCCAGCTCCAGGTCGAGCTGTTGTTCAGCATCTTAGCTGTAGAGGGCAGTGTCACTGGCCCTCATATGTGGGATCCGAACCGGGGCCCTCTGGTGTCCCAAGCCAGTTCTTAACCAACGCGCCACTCAGCCGGCCCACTAATCAGTATTCTTAAGCAATAAAATAATAATTACAGCTTCTCACTTTTTTAAAGAGTGTCCAAAAGTATTATGGTATTTGAATGCATATCATTATGGACAGAAAAAGATATTCATAAACCTGTACCACATGTTGTGTATTTAAGCAAACAAAATGCCCATACATTTCACTGTGTATATTTTCCTCAAAAAATTATAAATATTGAACTCTTGTTATTGATAGTTATTCATATACATGTTGAAATATTTAGGGACGACATGTACTGATATCTTCAATTTACTCTGAAGTGAATCAAAAAAGAAATCAATTAATGGATCCACTAATGATGGTTATTATATGGCTATTCATCATATAATTCTTTCAAATATTCTGTATATTTTAATATTTTTATAATAAAATGCTGAGACAAACAAGCAGGACTTCGTACTTTTTTAGTTAAATAATTTCTGTTAATAGGGGCCGACCAAGTGGTTCAGTTGGTTAAGAGCGTGAGCTCTGAGCAACAGGGTCACCGGTTTGATTCCCACATGGGCCAGTGAGCTGCACCCAAGCTGAGCTGCCCACAGGTGGCAGAATGGGTCAGCTGGTGAGA